CAGCGCTCAATCCGTTCTCAACCGTAGAATAGCGAACTCATATTGGTCAAAGGTTTGGCATAATTTATTCGCACGAAAGTTGGCAGTGTGTTGATGATTTACATGTGATTGCTTACGTAGGGAACGTAAACGTGAAACTTGCATGCATGCATGAGATGTTATAACTCCGGATGTCTCACCAGTGCCGTAGCCAGGACGATAATTGGGGGGGGGGAGGAGAAATATTCATATATTCGTGTTCACATACCATAAATACAATTGATTTCAAAAGAAATTAATAGAGCTGAACAGGAATATATGAATGTTGCCAATGATCGTTCTGGCTACGGCACTGTGTCTCGCTCATTCCCTCAAAAACTAGCACACATGATGCATGCCATCCTTTATCTATATGAAACTAAAACTCGGAATATCCGCAGAATGTTAACTGATATTACTTTAGAAGTCGACCTGGCCGCTATTTGTACAAAAACTTAACGTTTAGTTCATTTTCAATGGAATTTGATGACTTGACAGTCTCGTGTCATATGCTGTACTGTACAGGGTGTCCCCAAAAAAGTACCCTCAAGGCAAACGTATTTGTGAAGAATATCTAAATTTGATCGTGAATCAATGACATTACGAGATTTATAGCGAGGACATGTATACATATCAACGTCAACGATATTTCAGCATTGAAGCATAACACGGCCATGAAGCCAGAGCAAAACGATTTTAACTTATATCGATAGAAAATTTTGGGATCTGAATGTATTAATGTATTCTCTTGTGACTCCTAGTGTCTAGAGAAGTTTTAAGATTCAAACATTTTCTGACGAGAATGAAAACTTTGTATATGCAAACATATTTTCGTACGATGCGATAGTACGTTAAGCAATCTCTAGACTCGAGCTATAGTGATCTACACATGTCGATATAGCTTCGAATCGAAATTGTGATTAGTGACAACATGATAAAGTCTTTAGAATTCTCACATTTTACAAACAATATGCATATATGGTCTCATTTGCACATATTACATGTGAAGCCAATCAGAACTCAATTTCTTACGTTTGCAAATTTGCATAACTGAATATACGTTCGTATACGTGCTTCGGTGAATGTTAACTAAGGCAGCGTTTACACTGTACCGTTTTCGTAGCGCTCTCGTATTGTTCTTAATCCTCAAGGGAACGCAAGACAACAGTCTAGTTCTCTCGAACAATACGAGAACGCTACGAAAACGGTACAGTGTAAACGCTGCCTAAGGCAGCGTTTACACTGTACCGACAGTACCGTTTTCGTAGCGTTCTCGTATTGTTCTTAATCCTCAAGGGAACGCAAGACAATAGTCTATGGCCCCGTTTACACTATACCGGATTGCTATTGGAGTGGGTCAAATTTTGTAGGTATCGAAAGGCTGTGAAGAATTTTAATCTCAGAGACCCAAATAAACATGCCAATTCTGTCAAACTAATAAGCATTTGCTACTAACCATTGCTCCGTAACGGCAAAAGAAGATGCCGTGACCAGCGAATCCGGTATAGTGTAAACAGGGCCTAGTTCTCTTGAACAATACGAGAACGCTACGAAAACGGTACAGTGTAAACGCTGCCTAAGACCCCGTTTACACTGTACCGTTTTCGTAGCGTTCTCATATTGTTCGGTAGGATTAGCCTTTTGTTAATTTTTTTTCCCTGAGAGAATTGAGAAACAATATTAGCACGCTACGAAAACGGTACAGTGTAAACGGGGCCTAATAGTTGACCTGCATCTAAAACCTGCCGCACACGAGAGCAACTTTCTGAGCTAACCGCCTCGCGTGGCAGCTAGCTCAGCAAGTTTCTCTCGTGTGCGAATAGTTTTCGTGAGGATTTGACGTCCCGACGCCTTGAGGAAAATATCTATCGTGTTTGATATTTTTCACCTCGCGAGGAAAATATCTCAGCGTGTGCGGATGTTGTGACTCCTTGGTGCTGAGCTGCTCGAATCAGTTAGCCAATCAGAAACCATAGTTTCTTCATGTGCCTTGGAACAGAATGGAGGAACATGCAAATGATTTTGTCAATTATGTTGTTGTTGAGTAGTTTTCCCAACGTGTGCGGTAAAAATACATTAGCTGAGCTGGCTGCCATACTCGAGGCGGTGAGCTCAGCAAGTTTCTCTCGTGTGCGGCCGGCTTTAGGACATAAACGAGCTTATATTCAGTTATAAAATTTTCATAAATAAAAATCTCAAATTTGATTGGTTACATAAAAGCATGTGCTAATAAGGTGCATAATAGCGACATATAAGTGCAGATTTTACTGTTAGATGAACAGATGAAGATAATTATATAAATATTGATATACAGGGTGTCCCAAAAGAACCGATACTATTGAAAAAACGTACTGTTAGAATTTGAATGCCTTGGCACTAAACTGAACCCAAAGATTCGTAAAATATTGAAAGGGTGCATACAATGTGTACTGTGTAAAAAAAGTGAACCCTTTCAAATTTAAATTAGCTATAACGTATTGTAGTAATTTGACAGCTCTGATAGATGATCCCCCTTATTACGTTTTTGTAGCACTTTGCATTGTGGTTATAGTGGTATCGCTGATAATGATAGCAGCCTCGAATGAAAATATTGAATGTTTTCGCGAATATTTTGCTGTTGGCTATCGTGCACCTGACCCTAGCTTTCTTAAAAGTTCTTGCACGGGTCAGGACAAAAAATAAGCCATCTTGAATATCAGTGAACCCCTATAACCACAATGCAAAGCGCTACGAAAACGTAATAAGGGGAATCATCTATTGAGGTCTTGTACTCACGGGACAAAACTCAAAGAAATACTGTATTTCGTTATTAAATTTTCTAATTTTTATTTCTTTGATTTTTGTCCCATGAGTACAAGACTTTGTGTTCTTACCCAACCATTAATTCAAAGCAATTAGAGCTGTCAAATTATTACAATACGTTATAGCTAATTTGAATTTGAAAGGGTTACTCTTTTGAGACACACTGTATATTATATATATTGACATAGTATTAACAAATTAAAATATATTTGTGAAGCGCACGATTTTCTGCTCTTGGGAATTTAAAGCAGCTTCTTAAGCAGCTAATTATGAGCAGATTTATATATAACAATATATAAATTCAAGTTAATGAGACAACACGTTTGTCACCTTCAAACCTGGTTATAATCTCATAGTAACAGGATAAGCTTGTCAACAGCCACAAAAAGGCGATATCCAACAGTCCAAAGTTCAAATGTTTCTCTGGGCATGTGTAAAATCGAATGAAAGATCAACTGACCAATCATATGTCAACAACGAACACTCAGAACAAAGGTCAATGTGATAAGGGAGTTCACTTTGACAAATATCCCAACAAAGAGCAATG